TAAAAAATAATTACCCACAAATACATCTGTCAGTAATTACCCACAGATACATCCGTGGGTAATTTCGTGGGTATTATTGATAATATATTTAAAAAGTTATTTCAAAATTATATTAAATAACAACCTTGTTTAATACAATACCCCTTAGATTTGACCTCTCAACGGCTCTGCTCCACGACACTTCACACTAACCTCAATATTTTTTTTAAAAATCTATATTCATATTTAAAATTTTAATAAATATATATTAAATTAAAATTATTAGTAACTAATCAAAGAATAATTAACTTTTGTATATAAAGCATAAATGTCTTTCTTGTATACCATAACATTTTTAGAGACTTTTCTTTGACTAAAAGAATTTTATATATATATATATTTTAACTTGTTATTTAATTTAGTTTTTATTTATCATAATTACTTATGAATTTATTTTATTATTTTAAAAATAAATTATTAATAAAAATAATTATCTACTGATATATCCGTCGATAATTACCTACAGATATATCTGTGGGTATTATTGATAATATTTTTAAAAAATCATTTCAAAATTATATTAAATAACAACTTTGTTTAGTGCAACACCCTTTAGATTTGATCTCTTAATGGTAGCGACCCATCACACTAACCTCAATCTTTTTTTAAAAAAAAAACAATATATATTCATATATTTTATTATTAGATCAATTCAATTATTTTTTACACTACAAATATTCTTTTATTAAAAATAATATCATTCAAAATTGGTAAAATTATTATAAATGTTAAGAAATTACCTTTTAATTTTAGACTATCATGCATCAATGTCATTTCACTAATTATATATTTCTCAATTTAAATAAAATTAACTATATATAATATTAAATTATATTGATAGTAAATTTATATATATATATATATATATAATAGTTGGTATGGAAAATTAATTAGCATGATAAAATTAGTTAAGTATTTAAGAATTTAATTTATTAATTTTTTATCATTATATTTTTTAAAGTTACCGACAAACTATTTTGCATTTTAATTCGACGAACAACATTTTAGACAGATAATCCGTGGGATATATCTGTCTGAAACATCATAATTTTTCTATGAAAAAAATCCATGGGTTACATCCATATGAAATTTTGGATGGAAAAAATATGTGGGTAATATTTGTTGAAATTGTTTATGTTTCAGACGAATACATATTCATCAAAAAAATTCGTCAGTAATGTCATTTTTCAGACAGATATTTATCCGTGAGAAAAAGTCTGTCAGTAATGGTTTTTTTTTATTTATAGTTTTTATACATAACATTCCATATCATTTCATGATCTCATCATCACATTTTCTTATATCACATACTCATTAAGTGTTCACATATAGTAATTAATAGATTCAGTGGGAGTTATCAACATAAATTAATACGATGATTACAAATGTTCACAAATCAACCACAATAATTACGCAACATCATAACTTATTAACAATTATTTTCTCTCATGATTTATCTATCCTAAACATTGACAAAGGTACCTTAAATCATTATAAGGTCAAATACTTAAAAGGTAAATCCATTCATCATTACTATTCAAAATTGCATTTCCACAACTTAATCTTCTAAGACATCGTGTAGTTCAAATACTTCATCTAGAGTTATATATATGCTATCAAGTTGATCTTAATCTTAGAAAGCTAAAACAATTATCTCCAACTTTTATGTTGACCTCAAGAGTTAATTTTGTCATCTATTATTTTTAAAATATACAAAATCGCAACTTTTTAGTCTACCTTTCGTTCACTAATTTAATCATAACCTGAGTAATAGATATTATTTTTAGGTGATTCCAACGACATTTGAAAGCTAAAATATAAGGCTACAACTCTTATGAGACATTACAGGCTAATTTGGTCATTTGGAACGCTTGCATGGGCGTGCAAATGGGTGCATGCTCGTGCCAGTTGTGATTCAGCACTATGCTTTTTAACATATCGGTCGAATGGGCATGCAACAAAGTGCACGAGCACACCAATCGCTGCCCTGGGGTGAAATTCACTGCAACGAAGTGTAAAAATTGCACATGACGAACCTAAAACCCCAAAACTCCAAGCCAATTGGTAAAAATCATGATAAAGCTTAATATTACTCTATTATACCATCAATTACTCAAATCCAACCTCAATTTCATAATCTAATTACATATTATTATTAACTACTCACACAATAACCATTTAGGGTTTCTATATGAACCCACAGGAATACCAAAACATACAATTTCAAGTTCATTTTTAAAACTTACCGACAAATACATACAATTTACATCAAATAGAACATACAAGGAAAAATAGGGAAGACAAATATATTTGGAAAAAATCCCTTATACTTAGACATACAACAGAGATGGGATTGGAGATCAATCCCATTATTCAGCGAACAATCTCTCATCTAGAGAGAGATTTCTCACTCCCCCTTACCTTGGTAAGCAGAAGAAGACAGATGTGTAATTTCAGGATAATTTCCTTCTTATTCTTATTCTTTGAGCTTTGAACATAAAACAAAACGCTATGAAAAACATAAAATAAAGGAGTGTAAAAAGAAAATCTTTTAAAATATTAATTCCTTCTTAACCCTCCAATTAAAATATATTAATTATAGTTACAAATCTCTTCCCTCTTATTTAATAAGTAAAACATTTAATTAAAAACCTTATATTAAGATTCCAAAACATATCAAATAATTAAAGTAAACATTAAAGAAATTCATTAATTAAAAAAATATCAAAAATATTTATTAAATACTTATTTTATATTTTTTTTAATGAAAAACAGGGTGTTACATTCCCATATAAATCCTTCTTAATTTTCATTTAATATTAGAAATTATATAATTAATTCAATAGTCTATAATTCAATAATCTAGGTTTTTAATTGAAATCTCAATTCCTTGGTGAAGTTTATTAAACAATCACGCCTTAAAGTAAAGAATCAAAAGTCGACCGATAAGATTTATCTTAATTCCTCAATAATAAATGTTATCATCATTTTAATTAGATCATAATTTTAAAAGGGTTCCCAATTTTAGTTAAAATTATGAAATCATGTATTAGCCAAGGCACATATTAAGAACAAAGTAAAAACGATTAATTGAATAAAATCAATATATTGAATGAGAATAAGGAAAATTACATGAGTATAATAACTACATTAATCTCCAACGATAAAGAATTTAACTACTCGTGACTAAGGATTATACAATAGAAAAAATACCTTTGATCTATGAGCATAGAATATATTAATAATTGCCTAAATTGAATGAAATGTGTATCCGTATTAGGAAATTATAAGGAAATCAATCCAAAATTTATAATTATGAATGAAGAGTTGTGAATGAATAATCATGAATTAAGAGTCATGAATGAATAGTCCTAAACAAAGAGTTGTACATGAAAAGACATGAATAAATAAATAAATGGTCATTTCATCCTCTATAAATAGGGAGTATTGATGAGATTAGTCGCCTACTGTGAGGGGTTATCACCAAGAGGGGGTCACCATTCATTGAGAGAGAAAGGGGTCTTTAGCCAATGAGAGAAAAGAGGTCACACCTATGTGAGAGGAGTGCTTTTGTAATGAGTGTTCAAAAAACCTTGTAATATATTTAAATGAATAAATATTAGACAAGAGGTATCGAACAACGTTAAACTCATGTCTTCGTCATTTTATATTTATATAGTATTTGTGTATGTCTGTACTTTGATACTCATTATGCTAGAAGGAGATTTCCCCCAACATTTGTATTCTCTCAGATCTTCAATTTTAATTATATATTTTATTTGAGTTATGTACAGTGATACATGTTTATAAAAAAATATTCAAATTTCACATTGAATATATAGATAAAGCAATTTAAATAATGTATTTAAATAAAGACAATTCTTCTGTTATAATCGATTTTATAAGATTAAATTGTACTCAAATTTAAACTCTTTTTAAGAACATGAATCGGGAATTCGCCCCCCCCCCCAAATAATTAGTAGCAGATTGTGCCCCCCCTTTGAGTTTTTTTTTTTTTTTTTTTTTTTCGAGAGCCAGCAAAGTTTGAGACTCATTCACAAAGTTTGGCTTATCCATCACTTGTAATAACATGGTTGCTATGAATGTTCATTCTTTTGCTTCGATATGCCTAATGAGCCAGTGATCTTGCTTGTACTGTTTTCCACATGCTATTGAGTTTTTTTTTTTTTTTGTGGAGTTGTTAATTACCTCTTTCCATTCAGCAAAAAGTTAAAAAAAAGGGGATGATTTTTAAAATCTTTGCGATTAAAATGTTTGACCCCTATATAGAATTTCAACGATTTTCTTATTATTCATGTTAAAGTCTAAAATATAAGATTTACCTCTCTAAAAAAAGGTTATATGAATTGATAACGCTTAATTAAATTTCGTAAAATATGAAAAATTATATTTTATATATGCAACAAACTGGTATGTACGATAAATTAGTTTACTTTTATAATAACAACGTTTAGTCGGTGCACAGAATTAAATATTTATTATATATAACTAAATTTAAAATTAAATTATGTAATACTATGTTTAAACATATTAGTAATATTTAAAAATTGAATAAATAGATATTTTAAATATATAATTATATTTTAGATTTGATACATCATTTATATTAATTGTAGTATAAAATCATTTTTATTTATTAATAATTTATTTTAAAATATTAAAATTTAATTTATAAATAATTATAATAAATAAAAATAAAATTAGATATAAAATTAAAATTTCTTAAAAACCCTTTCATCAAAAATAATTTCTCTAAGAACATTTTCACGCTAGCAAGTCGTTTATATTTTATATATAGGGCTTAATTACTTTAAAGATTAAACCAACTATAATTTTTAAATTTTAATTTGTTGATAATTAATGTAAATTTTTTTATATACCGAGAGTTTATAGAAATTAAAACCAACAGAAATACTAATTAAAAGCAGTATTTAAACAAAACTGAAAAACTAGTTCCATTTCTTGCATTAATATAATCGATCAACAAACGATAATACCGATATCTTCATTGAACAGAAACATTTACTAGATAGAGTACACGAGAGGAGTACGAAAGGATCATGCAAACACAATTGAATTTAAGATACTTTATTGTTCGAGGATTTAGCTAGGGCATTATGATCTCATGGAGTTGGAATTGGCTTGTTAATTGGCAATGGTAGTAGAAATGGTTTCTTCAATTTGGGGTGAAGTGGTAGTTTAGGAAAAGGCTTTTTGAAGAAAGGCTTTGGTTTTAGAAATTCCTCTGATTCAACACCAGGGATAGGCTTGTCCCCTAAAATTGGTTTTGGTATAGGTTTAACAAAGGGAACAACCTTTGGTACAGGCTTCAAGATAGGAATTGGCTTAACAATGGGAACAACCTTTGGCACAGGCTTCAAAATAGGAATTGGCTTAACAATGGGTACAGGTTTCAAAATAGGAATTGGCTTAACAATGGGAATAACCTTTGGTACAGGTTTCAAAATAGGAATTGGCTTAACAATGGGAACAACCTTTGGCACAGGCTTCAAAATAGGAATTGGCTTAACAATGGGTACAGGTTTCAAAATAGGAATTGGCTTAACAATGGGAACAACCTTTGGTACAGGTTTAATAATAGGAATTACCTTTGGTACAGGCTTAATAATAGGAATTGGTTTAACAAAAGGAACTGGTTTTGGAAAAAACCCTTTGAATTTTTCTTCTTCATTAGGAATTGGTTTGAGAATGGGAACTGTCTTTGGAACTGGCTTAACAATAGGAATTACCTTTGGAACTGGTTTAACAATGGGAATTACCTTTGGTTCAGGCTTATAAACTGGAATAGGGATAGGTTTAACAACAGGGATCACCTTTGGAACAGGCTTGATTATAGGAATTACCTTTGGAACAGGCTTAATTATAGGAATTGGCTTTGGAATAAATTTGAATTTTGCTTCTTCGTCGTGTCCTTTTAGATTTGGTTTTACTAACTCTTCGTTTATAGCATTCCCATTGGTGTTCACTTCATTCCCTACATAACAAAATAAAATAAATAAAGTAAACACAATTAATATTTATGTTATAGCTAGTACATTTGAACCTTTCAAATAAATGGATAAAACCTTCCATGCATGTTATGTTATATATAAAATCTTTCAACCTACTCTTAATATTGTCCAATAACATGTAAACGTGTGTATTTACTTGCCACATCATTTAATGAGTATTTTTTTTTTTTGATAATATCAAGTATGATCTAGCTAGGAACTTAATTCAATAACTTATTTTGATTTTTAACTTTTAACTTCACTGTTTTCCTTTTCTTTTTTATTTATTCAAACATTGTCTCTCTCCTCTTGAATCCATAAAAAATATCAAAAAATATAATAACTGAATTCTTTTAAATAACTATTTTTAAATTTTTTTTAAATATTCACAAAATAGCAATCAATAAAATTATTTTGATTGCTTAAATTTATATTAAAATATATATATATATATATATATATATATTTATTAG